TCTCACTGCTGTGGCCTCTCCCGTTGCGGAGCACAGGCTTCGGACGTGCAGGCCCAGCAGCCATGGCTTACGGGCCCAGCCGCTCCACGGCATGTGGGATCCTCCCGGACCGGGGCACGAACCCATGTCCCCTGCATCGGCAGGCGGACTCTCAACCACTGCGCCACCAGGGAAGCCCTACCTGGTTCGCATTTTTACCTTTCATGTCACAGCTTTTTTTTTTAATTCTATTTTTTAAATTTAATTTTATTGTTGTAAGGACATTTAACATATCTATCCTCTTAACACATTTTTAAGTGGACAGTACAGCTTTGTTGACTCAAGGCAGTATTGTACAGCAGACCCCTACAGCTTATTCACCTTGCTTAATTGAAACTTTAAGCTCACTGATTAGTGACTCCCCATTTCCTCCTCCTCCCAGCCCTTGAATTCCACGCTTTGATTCTATGAACATGACTATTCTAGATGCCCTACATAAGTGGAATCATACAGTATTTGTCTTTTTGTGACTGCCATATTTCACTCAGCATAATATCCTCAATGTTCATCCAAGGTTATGATAGCATTTCCTTTCTTTTTTTTTTAAGGCTGAATAGTATTCCATTATGTGTGTATACCACATTTTATTTATCCATTTATCTGTCAATGAACATTTAGGTTGTTTCCATATCTTGGCCGTTGTGATAGTGCTACAGTGAACGTGAGAGCACTAGTATCTCTTTGAGATCCTGATTTCAATTATTTTGGATAAATACCCAGAGGAGGGATGGCTGGATCATATAGTAGTTCCATTTTTAATTCTTTGAGGTACCTGCATACAGTTTTCTATAGTGGCTGCACCATTTTGCATTCCCACCCCCAGAGCACAAGACTTTTAAAGAATGGGTTTGGAAAGCTTTGATTCATTTTATTTGTTTAGAAAAAAATTGAAGCCATTTTAGACCAAATAAAATACGTGGCCCACTCTGTTCATACTTATAAATGCAGAAGTAAACATTCCCCCAGGACAGCCCTCTCTCCTCAGCAAGCAGCACCACCTTTCGAGCATTTTGAAGCATTCTTCTTTGGCATTAGTAGCAGTCAGCCTCTTGGTAGACTGCAGAACAGTCTTCTCCATGTTATTGAACTAATGCATTTCTTTTGACAACATTCGGTAGGATAAGCAAAGTAGAATTAATTGAACAAGTTCATTGTTACCACTTCAGACGCCTAATTTTGATTCAGTTGAAATTTGTAGGCAATGGAAATGTTTCCCATCAGTTTTCTGGCACTAATCACCAGGACACAGCAGGGAAATGTCTTTTCTCCATCTTATCTTTGAGAAAATGTCCAGCCATCAGCATAACATGGTATCCAGATGCTAAGATTCATTCATTCCGTCCACCCCGCAAATATTTGTTGATCTGGGAATGGAAGAGTGAACATGAGAAATGTGTGCTCCCACTCAAGGAGACAGATGCTAATAAGCAAATAAATACTTAACTACAGTTGTATAAAGTGTCATAAAGAACTACAGGGACCTCTGAGAGCCTCAGATTTGAAGGGAAGTGGGTCAGGGAAGTTCCCTGAGAATGTGTTACCTGAGCCGAGATCCAGAGGAAGACTAGTAGGTCCCTAAGTGTGGGGGGCGGGGAGGGGAGGGTGTTCTGGCCAGAGGGAGCAGTGTGGGTAAGGCCTTGAGGTGGGAAGGGTCACCCAGCAGCACTGGAGGGACTGGAAGAGAGCCACAGTGACGAGCGAGGTGGTGAGAGACTAGAGGGACACCAGGGTCTCGAGCTGGCAAGATGGGCAGGGGCTGGCTGCAGCAAGGCCAGGGAGCTCTGCAGACTCACCAAGGGCCTCGCATCTCCATGGTGATCTGTCTCCTGCCCTCCACCCCCGCCACGCCCTCCCAGTGCCCCTCTTTCCTTTCTTGCCCTTCCTCCCAGTCCCCTTGTGCTCTGGCTCCTTTTCTAAAGGACTTGAATATTTATTTAACACACTTACATACCTTTTACAGTGAGCCAGCCAGCAGTTCACAAGTACTCACTGCAAACAAACCTGTTATTATCCTCATCTCACAGAAGCAGACCCTGGCACAGAGAGGTGAAGTGACTCACCCAGGGTCACCAGCTAGTAAGTGGCCAAGACAGAATTCAAAGCCAGGATGTGTGTACTCCGCGCTGTCTTTGCTGCCTCTCAGGTCTCCTGGGAAGTTCGTCATTTTCAGGGTATTCCTTCCCTCAAGCAGTGACATTTAATAGAAGGATTCCCACAGACCAAGGAGCCAGAGGGATATTCTGAGTGGTTGAAGGCAGGCCCCCTTTCCGTGCAGCAGAGAGAGAGAGAGAGGTTTGAGTCCCTCCCAGGCGCCCCTTGGGAGCCACCTCCTGAGCATTTGTTTGCTGCCGGGCAGCCTTGGCAGAGACCCCAGGGGAAACCTTTTCCCCCTCGGATTGCCAACTGAATCGGGATCTCTTTTTCTTCTTTAAAAAAGAAATCTGTGTTTGCATTTCTTTAGTTGCTGGCACTGGTACAATTTCTTCTGAAAATGTTACAACCACTGAAGCGTGGCTATCGTGTGGAAAATGTTTTCCTTGTAGAGAAGGTTGGAAATAATCTCTTCGTCTCCTCGGTTTAAAGCTAGCAGAAACGGCTGGCTACAAACCTTCACGTCTCCGTGACCCCTTCTTCCACCTTTTTGCAGGTGTGTTGAATGCTCTCTCACAATAGTTACGGCAATTTGTATTGAAATTAAGTTACTGGAACTTTCAGAGTGTCGTCTCTTTCCAGGGCAGATCCTGAAATAGAATATATTTTGAACATCCACATAGCAGAACGAAATAGCCTAGTTAGAAACAGCTGTTAGCAAAGCAAGGCAGTAGTGAGCTGCCATCTGAGACTGACTCTGGCAATGGGAGGCGGACCGTGGCACGGGCAATTTTGCTGCATATAGTTTGAGGTACTCAGATTTTGGAGTATCATGTGTCTTCTTTTGTGCCGATACCGTAACAGCAATTCCTGTAGATGTTAGCAGCTGTACAAATCATCTCTCTCTCCTCCGCCCTCATTCTTGCCCATTGGAAGTATTACTGCTGTGTATCCACACATTGGATTACGTAGCTGCTAACTCCCGCCCACCTCAGTTATCACACTTCTACTCCATGCCTGAATTCAAGATAGCCGACTACGTGTATGCCTTCCCCCAGCTAGCCAGCTCCATAAAGTCTAGTTCGTCCCTAATTCATCTGTAGAGAGACAGTATAAATAGAGTATTCGCAGTTAGGAATGTCCACTCTGGAGCCAGACTCCCGGGGCTCAAATCCTGCTTCCCCCATGCACCAGCAGTGTAGCTCATTTCCCATCTGTGAAATGGTGGGGAGAGGAGGTCATAAAAGTATCTTCCCGGAACGTAGAAAAGCTATGGTAGCTACAATAGCTACCATAAAAGTTAGCTGTTGTTTTTGTAGCCACCTCAGTGCCTGGCACATAGAAGGTGCTCGAAAAATGTTATCCATTCAACATTATTTACCTACCAAGTTCCTGCTCTGTGCCCAGCACTGTCCCAGGAAGCAGAGACAGGGATGGGGCACCATTTGCAATCCTGGGCAGTGTATTACTGGCAAACACAGCAGATAAAGTACCTGCCGTCCTGGAGGTTTTAGGCTAGGATGAAAAAAAAGATGAACCAAGAGGTATGTTTGGGTAGTTAGGAATAAATAAGATCACTTCAGATGCTGAGCACTGCTCTGAAAAAATGAGATGGATGACTTGACGTGAAGAGAGATGAAGAGAGACGGGTAGGGGCTCTGGATTGCCGATCAGGTCAGGAGCTAACGTGTAAGATGAGATCTGGAGGCTGTCAAGGAGCCACTGCAGCCAAGTCTCGCAGGTGAATATTCCAGTCAGGGGAACAGCAGGGCTGGGAGGCCAGACCCCCTTGGCATATGAGCTGCCCTCCAGAGCATCCTGTGCCCTTCAGTCTGGTCTGTGTGGGAGACGGGCCTCTGGGGATCGCATCACCGGGGCTTCCTTCCTTCTGGCTTCCAGCTGGTTCAGCCAGCGCGAGTAGTGACGTGGACTGCAGGGCAGGAGGAGGGCGAGGCTGGGGTATTTATCCCCCAACTCTCACTGGGCCGTGTTTGGCGATGGCTTTGTTCTTCCATCCAGGGCTGCAGCTGCTGCTGGGTGGCCTCCTCCAACTGCAAAAACTCGCTCCCCACCGCGTGCTTCCAGCCCGAGGATGGTAACAGTTTCCCTCTGTTGCCAGGCCCTGGGTGCCTTCTCGCTACTTCTCTTCATTCTGATAATCTTTCATTAACCCATCCTCGTTTAACCATTGTGAGCGTGTCCTCTGTGTCCTGCCAGGACCCTGAGCGGTCCAGCTGGTCCCAGGAGCCATAAAGGTGGCACTGGACTGAGTGAGGGGCAAGATGGACCAGCCGGGTCAGCAGGGCGATGGCAGCAGGAGCTGGGGGGGGAGGGGTCTTTGGAGAGCATTCAGCAGGGGAGCCACTGCATTGCATACTCCTTTTTTTTTTTTTTTGCGGTACGTGGGCCTCTCACTGTTATGGCCTCTCCCGTCGCGGAGCACAGGCTTCGGACGCGCAGGCTCAGCGGCCATGGCTCACGGGCCCAGCCGCTCCGCGGCATGTGGGATCTTCCTGGACCGGGGCACGAACCCCTGTCCCCTGCATCGGCAGGCGGACTCTCAAACACTGCGCCACCAGGGAAGCCCTGCATATCCTTTTTGGAACTGAATTGAAGCTGCTGACTTTTTTGCATCCCAGCACTGGTTCAGTTTAGCATCTGAGAAACACCGTTATAAGCTCTGTGACTGACTGTTGGGTTTTTCCTCTCCCAAGAGAGGATCCTCAATTTAGCTGTTAATGTTGCTGAACGCCCTAAAGAGTGAGGCTGTGTTTAAAGTCGGTGCCTTTGGTGGTGACAGTGATCATTTGGGGGTTTACCCGAGGTAGGTAGCTTCTGCTGTGCTGTCTGCAACGAGACCTGCAATCTAGCTTTTGTAGTTGGAAGAACAGGGCTTTTTACTGTTATGGACATAAGAGCAAGGCTGTAATTTTGGAAACAGCCCATTAAACTGACAGGTAATTTTGCTTTCTTTCCTCAGACCCAGAGCTCTCAAAGCTTGTCTTCCCAGACTGGAGTGTGTTGTTTGGTGGAGTTAACGACGTTGTGTCACTTTTCTCTCTATTGTTTAACCATAGTTGGCACTTTAATTTATCTACAGCTGCTAAAGGGAGGGACCTGGGTTTCTGTCTTGATTTTTTTTTTCCCTCCTGCTTCACATCTAGGTTTATTTTTCCTTTTTTTGGTCCTCCACTAGGATCATCCAGAACACGGGGTTCTGTTTCTTGTTCGAGAGCTGCTCAACGTGATCCAGGACTACACCTGGGAGGACAGCAGTGATGAGAAAATCCGCATCTACACCTGTGTCCTGCACCTGCTGTCCGCCATGAGCCAGGAGACCTATCTCTACCACGTAGACAAAGGTAGCTGGGTCCCTCCACCAGACTGCACTGTGTTTGAACTTCTGAACAGCAAGTGCAGGGTTTTCATTTTCTCTTTTATTTAATCCCTTTGTGTTTTACCTACCATGAATTTCTAGTCCAGGGTCTTGATAAATTTGCCCAGTATAAGAATTACCTGGGGAGCTCTTTAGAATACAGGTTCCTGGGCCCCATCTGTCTCTTCTAAATTAGAATCCCCAGGAAGAGGCCTGAGAATTTGTATCTTTAACAAGCATCCAAGATCATTTTGGCAAACAGACGAGTTCAGAGAAGCACTCTGTTGGGTCAGTGATGTCTTGGGTGTGGCACAGAATAACCTAGAACGGTGATTACATATGCACATGCATGACCTTCATCCCAGGCCTGTTCCTTACCGGTTTCATGTGGGTCCTGACCTGGACCCTTAGAGCGGGTGCTTGGAAGAAGGAGATGGCCTTGCTCCCCAACATGCAACCAGCCGTCTTGAACTTGCTCCTACAGGTTTGGGAGCAGCCTCCTCATGTCCTTGACGCAACATGGGACAGTCCCAATTCCAGACCTCTGCCCAGTGAGCCTAAGCATCTTCCTGCTGGTCAGAGCCTCAGTTCCGATTTTTGGTTTCCAAAAAAATGGCCCTATTGTTAAAAGCAGCTTGGCCAATAAATGAGTACTTCAGGGTTTAAGCAACTGTCTCTACACTTGGATATTTTAGGGAACAAATTTGCAGTGCTAAGGATGGCCTCCTGTTATAACCCTCAGAGGCTTCCTCTGGCTGGGATTTGGGGGCTGAGGTTACGTAAAGATGTAACTTGGGGAGGTTGGTTAATGTCAATGACGATAACTCCCACGATCTGAGCTCCTACTGTGTGCCAGGTACGGCACCCCAGACTCCGTGGGCCTCTTTCTCCTTTAATCCTGACGGCATTATGAGGAGGGCGGGCATTTGTGTCCCCATTTTACACACAAGCAAGGGGAGACACCGAAAGACAACATGGTTTTACCAAGCTCAAGGCCAGTTAGTGCTCGGAGTGGAATTCACTGTGGTACATGCGTTATGCTGCCTCCTTGATTACAAAGTAACAGTATTTTGATTAAAGTATATCATAGTACACACATACAATAAATCATAAAGCTCAGCAAATTATCACAAGGTGAACACACCCAGTAACCACCACCGAGACAGAGGAATCAAACATTACCAGCTCCCCAGAAGTCCCCTGTATGCCCCCGTCCACTCAGCACCACCACTTTCCTCTCTAAAGGTACACTGCTCTCCTGACTTCTAACGTTACAGATTAGTTTGCCGATTTTTGACTTTTCCGTAAATGGACTCATTTAGCAAGCGTTCTTTGGCGTCTGGCTTCTTTCACTCAGTGTTACGTCTGTGAGATTCTTCTGTGTTGTGTGTAGCTGTTGTGCATCCTTTTGCATTGCTGCATAGTATTCCATCATATGAATATACCAGAATTTCTTCATTCCCCTGTGGATGCCGTTCTGAGCTGCTGTGAGGAGTGCTGCTGTGAACATTCCTGAATATATAACTCTTGGTGTTCATGTCTGTCGGGTATATGCCCAGGGTGGAAATGCTGGCTGGTGGGATTTGCTTATGTTCAGCTCTGGTAGGTACTGTCTCACAGTTTTCCAAAATAGTTATACCAGTTTACACTCCCACCAGGCATGAATGAGATTTCCATTTGTTCCCTTGATATGGTCAGTCTTGTTCATTTTGCCTCTTCTGATGGGTGTAATTTGCATTTCTCTGATGGCTAATGAGGGTGAGCTTTTCCTGTATTCGTTGGCATTTTTATTTCCTCTCTTGTGAAGGGCACGCAGAGGGCTCAGAACAACAGAGAAACTTTTGAGGACCAGATGCTGCCGCGGAAGTGGGTCTGTAAACCTGGGCCCTATGAGAGGGGCAAGCCCTCTCCTCGCTCTTCCCTTCCTTAAACAGATTCACTGAATCCCCTGTCTGCACAGCACAGCAGGGCGGACTGTAGGAGCCAGAGCGCCAGCACAGGGAGCGTGGCTGTGTTTGACAGGTGGAGTCTAGTTCTCTAGCTTTTAGAGATGAAAACAGAACGGCGGGTTTTCTTTGCTGCCTTCTCGGCCCAGCTGTTTACTCTGGATGCACAATTGTGACCTGACAGTTGTCTTCGTAGCAGAGAGTCCTGGGGCCCCGGGAGGCTTTGCAGGGGTGGAGGCTCCATTTTCCCATCTCTTTCTTAGTCGAGGCAGCTCTTTAGACAGCGCTGACAAAGGTTCGAACTTTTGAAAAACTGGGGTCAGCTTTTTTCTTTGCATTTACGAAGGATGCCTTGGCTGTTTTCTTTCCAGATGAATAAGAAGACAATGTTCTGAAATGACCTGGAGCCATAACTCCAGTGCTGTCATGCGAGTGTGCGAGCGAGTGTGCTTGCTGTGGAAGGGCAGGACACTTCTGACACTGAATGTCTATTTATTTAACACGCAGATGTCTAGTTGGAAGAGTACAGCTCAGGGGCCCGTGGGAAGTCGGCACAGCCCCTTCACTCCTCCATGTCACCTGCCAGGCCCTTGAAGCATTTGGGGTTGTGACCCCAGGGCCAGACAGATGCAGAGATCCTGGGCTATTTTTAGTAGCCATTTGCCAGGGATCTCATTTCTCCCGGTTGTGAGCGCCAGTCTGGATTCTCAGGCCTGCCTTACACTCTGGCCAGGCCAAATTACTTCTGATTGTCAACTTCGCGCTTCTCTCCCCGCCTCTGTCACCACCAAGTGTTAGCATGGAAACACTTTTCCCCACTTCTGACCCCGTTTTTCACTTTCTCTGTGAATTTTCCACCTTCAGGGTTCAGCCTGGATCTCACTGATTCTATAATTCCATCCCAAGCCTAGATTTTAGGATCCTGGGACCCCCAGGCCGCCCTCTCCTGCCATGCAGCCCATGCGGTTGTGATTGCCCGTTTGCTCGTCTGCACCTCCTGTGGACTGTGTGCTCTGTGAGGGCAGGACCAGGTCAGCCCGTTCCCCACCCACCAGGTCTCCGGGTCCTGGAACCTGGCGCAGAGCAGGCCCTCACCTAGTCCGTGCTCTGCGTGTGTGAGCGGGCTGCTCTGAACACGCCTCTGACCCCTCTGGGCAGGATGCCTGCAGCTTGGGTGGTTGACCACAGGTGGTCCTAGACCTTCTCACTTCTCCCCTGCTGCTCGGCTAATCCAAAGGAGAGCAGGTTACTCCATCTCAGAGTAAGACTGGGAATTTATGCCAGGAACTAGCCGAGTCCTCAGCAGCAGGTGCGAGAAATTCCTTTACCAGCTGCATTTTGCCACCCTTCAAAATCAGATGGTGGTGAATGGCTGAATCAAATTCTTTCTCTTCTTACAAGAATAACTGCTGTCTTCCACGTCATGGACGGCAGTTGAAACACAGCAGCCAGAGCCAGAGCTGTCTCAGAAATCCTGGGACAGATGCCTGCAGCCCAGGGCAATTCACCACCAACCTGTGTCATAGGAACAACTACGAAGCCAGCAGCCGACCCAGGAGAGCACTCCCAGAATATTCCCCACCAAGGGGCAGTTCAGAACCGGAGTAGAGGTTGCATGGGGACAGAGAAGCTGGGGAGCAAGGAGACCAGCTGCTCTCCTCATTCTCAGGCAGTGTGTCTGCAACCTGCCTACAAATGGTTCAGCCAAAAAATGACGTGTGTCCGTCAGTGTGTGGAGAGAGCAAGTGAGAGAGCTTCACAGAAGTGCCAAAACAGCATCAGCTGGTGATGCCGGGTGAGAGAGAGGCAGCGCTTCACTGTCTACAGCCTTGACATTTGTTTAAGTAAAAAGCTGGCGATAAAAGAAGGAGTTATTCTTTTTTTTTTCCCCACTTAGAAACTCAGTAGTAATTTATTTGGAAAAAAATAAGCAAAGAATGGCTCATTAAAAAATACATTTCATAGTGTCATTCTTCCTCGTTCATACTTTTCCCAAATGCCTAATTGGGAGTTAAATATAAATGTAAGAATTTTAAAAGAATATTACGTACAATTTTATTGAAGTAGAAGAAGGAGTTATTATTCTATTTTTTTTTTTTCGGTACGTGGTCCCTCTCACTGTTGCGGCCTCTCCCGTTGTGGAGCACAGGCTCCGGACGCGCAGGCTCAGCGGCCATGGCTCACGGGCCCAGCTGCTCCGCGGCATGTGGGATCCTCCCGGACCAGGGCACGAACCCGTGTCCCCTGCATCGGCAGGCAGACTCTCAACCACTGCGCCACCAGGGAAGCCCAGGAGTTATTCTTGAAATAGCAGCTAGAAATGTACATGAAGCATCCCTGAAATTATTTTGTCAGTCAGTTAATTACTATATGCTTATACCTGTACCATTCCCCAAAAGATTCAAGACAGATTACAGGAAATATATAAAGTAATAAAATATAATTTTTTAATTGAAAAAATTGGTTCTTAGGAAGTTATAAATTAGGAAATATATGGCTATATATGTCTGTGTGTGGTATATAGGTATACTGGCTGTCACTTTACTAACAGTATATATAAACATCTTTCAGTACTAGTATACTGTAGCAATAGTATAGTATAGTGTAGTACATGGTAGTTAACGACTATAGATCATATACTTTCATTGTCTTCATAGTATTGCATTTAATGCTAATGCCACAGAGCATTTAATCAAAACTCTTGGTAGATATTTCCATTGCTTCTCCTCTCACCATTATACACAACATTTATAATGAACATACATTGAACATACAATGAACATTGTCCTCTATGATGAAACAATATCACATATATGCATCTTTGTGCAACTGGGGGGATGATTTTCTTAGGATAAATCCCTTGGAGTGGGTTTTCCCAAGTCAAAGATCTGACCTTTTTCTGTACTAAGACTTTTTTTTGGGGAGTAAAATATACAAAGTGATAAAATACATATAAAGTTTACCATTTTAACTATTTTTAATTCAGTTTTATCAAGTATAGTTGCAGTGTTGTGCAACCATCACCATTATCCATTTCCAAAATTTTTTCATCCTCCCCAACAAACTCTGTACCCAATGAACAATAACTTCCCCCTTCCCCCCTCCCCCCAGCCTCTGGTGAACTCTATTTTACTTTCTGTCTTTATGAATTTGCGTCTTCTAGGTACCTCATATAAGTGGAGTCATACAATAGTTGTCCTTTTTTTTTTATTAATTAATTTTTGGCTGCGTTGGGTCTTCATTGCTGCACGCGGGCTTTCTCTAGTTGCAGCGAGCGGGGGCTACTCTTCGTTGCGGTGCTCGGGCTTCTCATTGCGGTGGCTTCTCTTGTTGTGGAGCACGGGCTCTAGGCGCGTGGGCTCAGTAGTTGTGGCTCGCGGGCTCTAGAGCACAGGCTCAGTATTTGTGGCTCACGGGCTTAGTTGCTCCACGGCATGTGGGATCTTCCCGGACCAGAGATCGAACCCGTGTCCCCTGCATTGGCAGGCGGATTCTTAACCACTGTGCCACAAGGGAAGCCCTGGTTGTCCTTTTGTGTCTGGCACATTTCTCTTATCATAATGCTTTCAGGGTTCATCTATGTTGTAACATGTAGTAGAATTTCATTCATTTTTGTGATTGAATAATATGCCACTGTTTAGATAAACCACTAAACCACATTTTGCTTATCTATTGATCTGTCAGTGGATACTTGGGTTGTTTCCACCTTTCGGCTCTTGTGAATAATGCTGCTATGAACATTCATGTACATGTATCTGTTTGAGCCTCTGCTTTCAAGTCCTTTGAGCATTGGAGTTGCTAGATCCTGGAGTTGCTTTCCCACAGCAGCTTTACCATTTTATATCCCCACCAGCGATGCACGAGGCTTCCAGTTTCTCCACATCTTCATCAATACTTCTTATTTTCCTCTTTGTTGTTGTTTTTAAATAACAGCCATCCTAATGGGTGTGAAGTGGTACTGGACATTTCTTAAGGCTTTTCTTACTGATTTCCAAACTATGGTACTCCCACCAACAGTTTGCCCAGGCCTACATCAAAACCTGGTATTCTTTCTCACCTTTGTTAATCTGATAGGTGATGTTTTACTAAAAGTTCTTCTGTGGTTTTGGTTTTCTGTTCTTTGATCACGAGTGAAGTTGAACTTTTTTCCCCCCTAAAATTATAGGCCATTTAGATGTATTTCTGATACATTGATGTATTTGCCAATTTTCCTATAAGTGACCCTAAGAGGGGTCTCTTTCTTAAAAGCTCAGAAGCCATCCCTGCACATTGTACTTTGGCTTTTCTTGTCTTCTGGCCAATGCCTGTTTAACATGATCCCCTGGTTCTGTAGCTCGTTGCCAGCAGTCCAGGGAATAGTTCTATGCAGGCCCTGACAGACGGCTGGTGACTTTGACCATAATGGGGCTATCCATTGTGGCTCTGACTCTCAGCCTCACCCATCTGCAAGCTAAACGGGTGCCCCGTGTCCCTCGCTTGTGGTGTCACCTCTTGTTTGCATCACACAACTTCATGGGCTTTACTGTGATCCCATATGTATCATCCCTTTTGATTGTATATGCCTAGGAGACAGAATCCTAGGGATGGTGAAGAGCTGGGCCGAGAAGAGCACAGCAAACCACATCCCCCCAGATGAGCTAAGCTGAACCGGTTTATTGACGTCTCTAAACCATGAACTGGATTAGCACTGTGTGTACATGGCTGTATAAGCCCAGCCGCGCGCCCCCCAAGGCACCTGCACGGCCTCTGCTTTATCAGATGTCACTGCACCTGGGACAGTGGCCCAAATTTTAAGCCTCCACCAGATCAGAAACATCTAAGAGCTGCCACTGCACTTTTCCTCTCCTTGACCACTTAGCGCTGAGGGTGCTCCGATGGTTTTGCACTGAACTGAGCACTGCTCATTCACACTGGAAATAACTATGCTCAGCCACGTACAAGTCGGCATTTGGGAGTTGGGGTGAAAGCAGTTAAAAAAGGGTCTGGTGAGAAAAGGCATGGGGGGAAAGAATCGACTCTGCAAGGCAGAGGTTGTGGTTCCCTTACAGACTTCGCAGCAGCCTGGCCCTGACCCCTCACCGCCCCCCACCAAAAAAAAAAGAAAAGAAAGAGAACCGCTGAAGTGTCCGCAGGAGGGACCAACCAAAAGCATTCTGGCCCATCACACAATGGACTACTGCTCAGCTAGTACAAGCAAAGCAGCACATCCATATATGCTGATATGGAAATAGCTCCAGGAATCATTAAGTGAAAAAAAACCAAGCGCAAAACCGCACCCTGTAGAGTCCCTCTCCTTCCTTACCCAGAGGTCATGCTTTGTGCGAAGGTCGATAGGAAGGAGGGAGGGGGGAGGTCAAACCCAGGCTGTTCTTGCAGCTGCTCTTTCTCTAGACAGCGGCTGTCACAGGAGATGCCCAAGGAGAGAGGGGACTTTAGTGAAAGGATTCAGGTTTGCGAGAAGACATAGAGAACCTTCTGTTCCATCTGCAGAAGTTTTGCGGCGGAGTGACAGGGCAGGGGGCTGGGGGCGGTGCTTAACTGTGTAGGCTTTGACGGGAGCCTCCCAGTTTGGGATCCTGGCTGGGACAGGCTCGGAGCCTCCGTGTCCCCATCTGTCATCTCTTGCACATGCGGTTTTGAGGACTCCACAGTAACACCTGTGAAGCGCTGAGCCCAGCGCCTGGCACCCCAGTGCTCAGTATTGACAGCTATTCTGATGGCCACTGTGATGCTTGCCGTCCCCCTCCATGCCTGGGCCAGAGGGGACAGACTTCAGAGTCTGAGCTCTCTGGCTTAGACTGTCTGGAAGGCCAGGTGTTTTCTCCATGATTCCCAAGGCCCAAGCCCGTGGGAAACTCTGGCCGTTTCCATTTGCCCTGCCGTGATTTCCTGCCACCCGCTGACACCACGGCTGCCTCTCCCTGGCCTTGGGCTTGGGAATGTCTCACTGCTCTGGTTTCTTCCATCAGTTGACTCCAATGACAGCCTCTACGGGGGAGACTCCAAGTTTCTGGCTGAGAACAACAAGCTGTGCGAGACGGTGATGGCTCAGATCCTGGAGCATCTGAAAACCCTGGCCAAGGACGAGGTAGGTGCCCCTGCCGCCCCCATCCCCGCCGCTTGCCCTGAAAGCACGCGTTCCCAGGGTGCTTGGACATTGGTTCGTCCAGAGAGTAACGCGCCTGTGTGAAGACTGTTCGTCGAGGGCCCCGGGGCCTTTGCTCCTACCATTTTCTCTGCCTGCACTGTGCCTCCCCAGGGTTCCCCTGGCCACCCCTCTCATCATTCGGGTCTCAGCTCAAGTACCTCCTCAGAGTGGCCTTCCCTGAACCCTGTGTCAAGTAGCCACTACACTCCTGCGTCCCTCTGAACTGTCCCTGTGACGCTCGGGCATTCTCTGAAATGCTCTGTGTGTTCACTTCTCAGTCGCCTGCCTCCCCACCAGAATGTAAGCTTCATGTGGCCGGGACCTCGAGATGTGGGTCTCGGAGACCTGCCTGTGCCTGAGACGGGCTCTCTGGGATCCATCTGTCACTCACCCCGGCATCCTCACCTCGAACCTGTCATACAGCGGGCGCTCAATCAGTGCATGTTGAGTGAGTAACAGCCTGCACTTTCCACACCTTAGCTCTTTGAGGCCCACAACAGCCCTGTGATGTAGGTGCTGTGTTCATTCTCCTTGGACAGAAAAGAAAACCGAGGCTCAGAGAGGTTTCCAGAGCTCCTGGTTTCCTCTGGTTGTGACAGAACAGGGTTCCCACCCAGATCCTCAAGCGTGAATCTGTAGCCACTGCATCACCCTCCTCGGTCAAGGCCTTACCACTCAGCTCCTCAGAAGTGGCATACGGTTGTTGTCCAACCATGATAGTAGGCTATGCCTGCCCAGCCTTTTTCTTTTTTTTTGCCACACCCCACAGCTTGCGGGATCTTAGTTCCCTGACCAGGGATTGAACCCGGGCCTTTGGCAGTGAAAGCTCGGAGTCCTAACCATTGGACAGCCAGGAAATTCCCATCCCAGCCTTTCTCATGCTAAGTGTAGTGTGGAGAACTTTGCATGTGTGGTTTCATCTCACAACAGTCCCATGAGTGGGAACAGCTGTTATCCCTTTACACTTGCCAGATGAGGAAACTGAATCCTAGAGTGGTAGCTATGGAATGTGGTCAAGGCAATCTTCTAGAACCCATGCTCTGATCCACAGAATATATTCCTTTATCAGATGTTGCGTCGTTGCCTTTTCAGAGCAGTTTTTCCCATATTCTCCATATTATAGATAGATGGTTGACTGATTTCAAAATAATTTCCAAATTATAGTACGATCTAAATAGCTACCTGGTACCCTTCCCCAGTTACTCCATTTTTGCAGCGTCAGCTCAAACATGTGGGTGACAGTTGGATCCCAGAAGCTCTGTCTCAGGCTTGGTGGACATTGCGTTAAGGCTGATTCCTGCTGTGTAATCAGGGTGGGGAGGTTGGCAGTGACTCTGGAGTCAAAGCCAGTGCCTGACCTTTCTCTGCGTCCTTCCCCTGGGGCAGCTCCTGTCAGGCTTCTGCCTCCGTGTCTGCCCCGCACCCCCAGTCTTGCTCTTCGCTACTGCACATGCTGACAGCTCATTCCTGATCTCGTGTTGGCAGATTTCTGTCTTCTCTCACTGCCACTCACCCCCACCCTCTCCAATTCCCTCCCCAAACCCAGGACAGATTTCAGACTGCAGGCTTCCCAGTGGCTTTCCAGCCCTGCCCTTCCTGCCCACACACTTCCCCAGCTCCTCCTTCCCAAACCTCAGGTCTCACGTTTTTAGGATTTGCTTCTCTACTCCCCACCCCACTAAGTCCTTTGAAGACAAAATAAGATCGAACTGGACTTTTAATTCTTACTCACTTCCAGGACTGTACAGAATGCCACCATTGCCCTTCACCCCTTCCCCACCCCACCACAGAAACCATGAGAACATTCTATAGCTGTGGGTCCGCATGCACACGCGCACGCACACACACACACACGCAACATACATGTATGTCCCGCGTTCCCATTCTCCCCAGGGTATTCAAGCAGGTCCTGGAGAGAGTGGGATTTTTTCCAGACTCCATTCCCCAGTGGCCACTGCTGAGGTCAGGGGCACTGCACACAGGGCCAGCCTTAAGGTTAGTAGGCCAAAAGGCAGATGGAAAACACGGAACCACTGCTGCCCTGGGGGCCCCAAGTGCCTCCCAGCGCCCTCTCTAGGGAGGGAGGATTGTGGGTGGGTCCCACTGACCCTGGGGGCCCCTGGGTGCAGGGCTGTAGAATGCTGGGGAGTTAATGCTTGGAGGGCACTGGCTGTCAGTGGAGGGGGCAGCATCAGAACCCCAATTTCTTCAGGAACTGGTTTATCAAACCAGTTAGTGCTAGAAGAGATAACCCCTCCTCCAACTGAAAGGCCTTTTTTGAAAGCCTGTAAACTTCGTCTCTGCGGTAGGCAGCTTTCAGGAGAGAGCCCTCATTACGCTGCAGGAGAAATGGAGTCCTTCACCTTCAGCTTGCACTGGTCACTCCCCTGCTGTGAAGGATTCTTAGCACCTTCCCTGATCCCTACAGCCAAGGGCTCTGGCTCTCGCTTCTTGCCAGAGCAGGGCTGTGTGTTTGACACGTGGTGCCCAAGAAACATGTGCCCCGGGGCTTGAAAATGCATTTCTTCACTCTGACGACAGGCTGGGTCTAATCAGAGGTGGCTGTGACAGCATAAACTACCACAGTCTGGGACCTCCAGGCTCACAACAAAAATAGAGCCCAGAACCATATAATTTGGAACTGTTTTAACATTTGTCTCTTTCTCTTGGGGGAGGAGGCGTTGACTGTGATAAGGACTCTGAAATAATTCTGAAATAGCAGGGCTGGAAAGTTTCTGAAGTACATTTCAACTCACATAAATACCAGGGACTCTCACTGAAAATGTCTGCCCATATATGCACATTTATTAGAAAAAAATATGGGTGGACTGAGCTAAGATGGAACATGTCATCCTTCACTTTAACAGCATGCTGTGAGATTCGGCACAGGCGGCAGTGGGAGGGGAGGCCTCTAGAGCCCGGAGCACTCAGACCTCTCTCCACCTGCTGTGGAGCCAAGCTGGGCGCTGTGAAAGCCCAACGCTGGTGCCGGAGCTGAGTGTCTCATCTCTCAGCGCTGGTATCAGCCCTGCTTCCAAAATTGTCCTCTACATGCACGTGAAGGAGCCAGCCCTGCCCTAGTCACGAGCTTTATGAAGCTGTTTGTTTGGGTGTGGTGAGGCTGGGAACCATGCCAGACGGTTACAACTTCCTGCAAATGACAATTCCCCTAGGAAAAGAAACAAAAGAAGCTCTTCTATTTAAAACCTCTGTAAGGAGAGGAGGGGCTGGAGGCCCTGGTTTGGTCTCTCATAATGTGTTCACGGTTTCCTGGGTCTCTGCACGTCGGCCGCCTGCCTGCTCCGGCGTGCTTATCCCCAGACCCGTCTCTAATGATCTCATTTTTAATCGGCTGTGCATTTAAAACACATGCGAACTGGGCTTTTATTGTAAAATGCTTGAGAAGATACAGAATAGAGAAGTAACCAGTAAGATACTCTTACTTGTTTGACTTTTAAAAACTCTCCCTTGCTTCAAAGAAATGTAGTTAAAGGGCCTCTCTTGGGAGACTCTTATAGTTGGGTTTGAGAGTTTTCTGTTAGCTTGGTCCTCGAGGTCTGAGCAGAAACCAGGGCCCAGGCCTCAGATGAGAGCCAGCTGAAAAGGTGAGCAGGATGGGCTGGAACCCACTGGATGGTCTCTGCCGTGTTCCCGACTGGGGCAGAGCTCACTGTCTGATTAAACCAAGGAACCCAAAGCAGGAAGCTGCCAGCCAGTTAGAGTCTACCAGCCTTCCCTCCTTGTGCCTGCAGGCTTGGGACCCGACAGCGTGACCCCGCTCCTTGACAGCAGTGCTGTTCAGTCGGCTCAGCTGCTTCTGTGACGGTCACCTGGTCCAGACTGTTGTCCAGGCAGGCTCGATTTAGGGGGCTTGAGTCTCTTCACTGTCGTCACTCAGCCACTGTCACCCAACTGCATTCTTAGCTGCTCCTTGGCAGTTTTATTGCATTGTTTTTTTCTCCACTAGAAGACTTTAAATCCTCACTTGGGAGAGGGCAGCAGGAGGGGGTAACAAAGTTGGCTCCGCAGTTAGCGTAGTCTGCTGCTCTATGGGCTCCACACATGGAAGGATGCATGGACAGATGGACAGTTAGTAGGTTGTTTGAAAAAAGCAGGAAAAAAGTATGTATTGGTCTAAACCACATCAAATCGTTCCTATTTCCCTGGATAAAACTGTGTAGCTGCACTGGGCAAATCTGTTAGCTTCTTCAGAATTTGGATGCCTAATGTGATGTTAACCATGGGTCTATGGGAACATCTTATAAACTGGGGCGGACGTGGGAGGGTGTGGGTACCAGCACAGGCTCCAGAACTGAACGACTGGAGCTCAAATCCTCACTCTGCACGTGCTGGCTGTGGTCCTTGAGCAAGTTCCTGACCTCATCAGCAAAATGGGAGCGTACTGGTTTCCTGTTACAGCTTTAAGTCACCACAGACTTAAAACAACCCCCATTTGTTATCTCACCAGTTTGGTAAGTCAGAAGTTGGTGCTGGCTGGGCCCGTTTCTCTGCTCCTGGTTTCACAAAGCCAAAGTCAAGGTGTTGAGTGGCTGGGCTCTTACCAGGAGGCACTGGGAAAAATCCACCTGCCAGCTTACTTGAGTTGGCCACTTCAGTTCCATACGGTGTAGGACTGAGGTCCTGTTTCCTTGCTGCCTGTTGGCTGAGGGTTGTTCTCAGCTTCTAGAAGCCGCCTGCATTTCTTAGCTCTTGGCCCCCTTCTACCATCTTGAAAGCCAGCAGTGGTGGGTTGTGTCCTTCTCATGCTTCAAATCTTTCTGGTCTCCCCTTCTGCGTCATCTTTCCTTTGCTTTCCTCTTCTGCTACTTGTCTCTGACTCTAGCCTGAAAAATTTCTCTGCTTTCTAGGGCTCAAGTGATTAGATTGGGCCCACCCAGATAATCCAGGATTATCTCCCTAAGGTCCATAACCTTAATCACACCTGCGGAAGTCCCTTCACAGTAGCACCTAGATTAGTGTTTGGATAACCAGGAGCTGGGATCCAGCTCTAAAATCCTGCCTACCCACAGAGAGTTGTGAAGATTAAACAAGGTGAGCTGGGTAAAGCACAGAGCTCATACCTGTCACAGTGTAAGGACCCCATGCCCACTAGCTGCCAAGGAGCAAAGCAGACACTCAAGGCTCCTGGCAGCACTGATGTCTGCAGCGCCAGCCAAGAGCACCCAGCAAGGGTCCGGGCGTCAGCTCTCCAGGACCCACACAGATGTGTGATCTGACCTGGTCCCCTGCTCAGGCCCGCCTGCTGACTTGGGCCTTCCCAGGTGCCTTTGTTTACCTTGGGGAGCTGGTATCTTTTCTCCTGGGCCTGTTGCATTTTGGAGATTTAGTTTCCCTTCTGTCTTTACCATTCAAAGCTGGGGTTCAGGTTTGGTCTACTCTGACATTTTGGTTAGACTTTACTTGTTTGAGAGTACCTTTCACATCAGATCACTGAGCAAAAGAGGAATGATCTGGTGTGAAGAATACCTAATGGTTCCTATAAAAGCTGGGCATGGGCACCAGGCACTGGGGAGCATTATTAACGGGGAGCTGTCTTTGGTCTTTATTACCAGCACCCAGAGGGTGGGAATAGTGACTGAAACTTTGGGTGGCTTGAGGACACGTCTGTAAGAGACGTATCTTACCGTTCAGCTTACTCCTGTACTTGCATTAATGCAAGACGGCCTCAGTGCTGGGGTAACCCGGGGAGGTTAAGCAGCTCGCCCTCCAGAAGATCCGTGGTAGAGCTGGCCTTGGAACCCCTGGCAGCGTCAACACTGGGCTGGGCCTGAGCCCCAGTGCCAGATAGTAACCTCTTTTTTCTGTATCAGGCCCTAAAGCGCCAGAGCTCGTTGGGCCTTTCCTTCTTTAACAGCATCTTGGCCCATGGGGACCTGCGCAGTAACAGGCTCAACCAGCTGTCCGTCAACCTGTGGCACCTGGCACAGAGGCACGGCTGTGCGGACACCAGGACCATGGTAAGGCGAGGGGAGGGGTGGGGGGAGTGGGGGGCCCTCACAACGCCCACCAGGCACGGCTGTCCTGGCGAGTAATGCAAGCCCACTGGCCAGGCACAAGTGGCCTCAACACAACATCAGGGCCTGGACATCAAACAGCCCCAGTCTCCCCTTCCAGAAAGGTGCCAGGCCCTACAAAGTACAGATGGCTCTCCGTATCTGCAAGTTTGGCATCCTCAGATTCAACCAACCACAGATCAAAAATATTCAGGGGGGAAAAAAAATTCCAGAAACTTCCAAGAAGCAAAACCTGAATTTGCCACCTATCAGCAACTACTTACATAGCATTTACATTGTATTAGGTGTTAAAAGTCATCTAGAGATGATTTAAATATACAGGGGGAGGTATGTAGGTGATATGCAAATACTACACCATTTTCTATAAGGGATTCAGTATCCTCAGTTTGGTCCTGGAACCAAGGGACCACTGAGTAGTATTAAGAATTAACTCCCTCTGAATAAAAACCACATGTATGAAAACACCAGTCATTCCTGGTGATTTTAAGAGCAAGCTATAATCTAAGAAGTCTTATTTAAAAACTGCTGGTTTCTTCCCCTCCCTTCTCTGCTAAGAAAAAAGCCAGAGCTCCCGATATGGCTGATTTGTTGGAGCCTTGAGAGTTATGAACCAGAAAGGAGATGAGTCTTTCTCTTTCCTCCTAGGTGAAAACTCTGGAATACATCAAGAAGCGAAGCAAACACCCAGACATGGGGCATCTGACCGAGCTGGCCCTCAGGCTCCCTCTGCAGACGAGGACCTGACCCTAGGGGCTCTGGTGCCAAGTCCAGAAAGACCTGTTTTGCGTTTTTGTTTTTATTTTTACACACGTACAGATTGGCTTCTCTACTAGATTATTCTGCCAGTGAAGTGAACAAGCGGGAGCTGTCAGAGCATTCGAATCCACTCCTGCTCACTGAGCACAGCATCTTAGTGTTTCTTTGCACAGGTGGCCTTCAGGTGGGCCTTTAGGGAAAAACTGAAGAATGCAAGTAACATCTTCCCTTTCTGGAAGGTGTTTTTTAATTGGAAAAAGAACCTTGAAAAGCAGTCCACTTTGACAGACCCACTGTGCCCTATCCCTAATTTGCTTTATATCAAAATCAGCTCTTGATTGGATTTAGAATATGCTGGTGGATTAAAGGAGAAAGTGAAGTCAAATCTGAGATTCCCTGTGGCTTCGATGGAAAATATACTGTAACTGAATAAACCTCCTGAAGGAACACTTATGTTCATGACTGTTCATTTAATTACAGTTGACTCTCATCCGGAAGAGAACGTGTCTAAACATACCGCCTGGTTTTCTTGCAGCCATAACCCTAAACAGCATATGATACTGTCTACTTTTTTATCAGTTTGGCGGAATCTCATTCTTGTATTACCACTAATGAGCTTCCACTGACATTCTGAATCAGTAAGAGCATTAATATTGGTGGTGGTGGTGACTCACAGCCTAGAACCCCTTGTGCAGGAAAATGCATCCAAGCTGTGGATTAAAAGTGCCCCCAGGGGCTTCCCTGGTGGCGCAGTGGTTGAGAGTCCGCCTGCCGATGCAGGGGACACGGGTTCGTGCCCCGGTCCGGGAAGATCCCACGTGCCGCGGAGCGGCTGGGCCCGTGAGCCATGGCCCCTGAGCCTGCGCGTCTGGAGCCTGAGCTCCGCGACGGGAGAGGCCGCAACAGTGAGAGGCCCACGTACCGCAAAAAAAATAAAATAAAATAAAAGTGCCCCCAAACTACTGTACGTTTGGAAGGTACACACTGAATGTAGATAGACGACATTTTACCTCTACTCGTGAAAAGCCTGATTACAGTTCACACAGTAAAAGTAGCTAAAATAATTTTTTTTAATTTACATAAACTCATGTTTTAATTGAATAGCTTGGGACCAAGAATATGCTATGGATTTTCCGGATGGCTTAATAGTGAACCCCACGAGAAAACGGCCTCCGTTAAGGAACAGCGTGTACTGAAGAATGCACCTCAGCTGAACATAACAGACATTCAGAAAGCACAGTGGTATTGCTCAAATGTTCCCAAGTGGCCTTTATTTCACAAAATTATTTTCATTAAAATTACTTCCTATACCACTTTTACTATATGATACTATTCAAATGAAAATCAATTGGCAAATTTACAAATTATGCACTTTTAAGTCAGCTACTTTGAGGCTGTACACATCAGACAGCATCAGCGCCCAAGCCTGAGCCATGAATTCCTAATGCTCTTCCATGAACCTGGACTTGGACTTTCACGTTCGGTCGGGTATCCGTTACACCAAAGCAGCCTCTGAACCATGTTACCTGGCCCAGGTGGAAGCTTAGCTTTTCTGTGTTCTTGTGTGGTTTCCTCAGCCTGTTACTGAATCAGTTAGCCAGTCTCTGAAGACCATGGCCTACATGAGGTGAAGTCTACTACTACTACATGAAGGATGATGGAACAACAACACACAAAAAACCAAAAAATTTTAGGAAATAAGGTGAAAGTAAGAAAAACTTCTGCATAAGGCCTGTATTAATTTTCTATTGCTGCTTTAAATTACTACAAACTTAGTGGCTTAAAACGTCACAATTTTACTGCCTTACAGCTCTACTGGTCTGAAGTCCAGTGGGCTTACCTTCAAAGTGAAGGTGTCAGCTGGGCTGTATTCCTTCTGGAGGCTCTAGGGGAGAATCAGTTTTCTTGCCTTTTCCAGCTTCTAGAGGCCACGTGCATTCCTTGGCTGGTGGTCCCTTCATCTTCAAACTAGTGACAGCTTGTTGAGTGTTTCTTGCAAGTCTCTTGACTCTTCTGTCCCCTCTTCTAATCCTGGATTATCTGGGTAGGCCCAGTCTAATCATATTAAGGTCAGCCGATTAGCAGACTTAATTCCATCTGCTACCTTAAGCTCCCTTTTGTTTTGTATCACAACATATTAACAGGTTCCAGTGATTAGGACTTGGACGGGAGGCGGGGGGGGGGGGCATGGGGGCATTATTCCAACCACAAACCTGAACAGTTCTAAGTTTGCAGAGCTGAACACACAGTTTTTAAGGGGAGAACTGTGTCTATCTGGCAAATACTTTTGATGGGCCAGTCTAGTTATGGAAAGGTGGCCTCAGGGAGGGGCCTAGTGGGCTAAGGCAAAACAGCAGGAATCACCCCAAGGAATAAAAAAGTGGTTAAGAATCACGAGGTCTGGGGAACGGCTGGATAAAGGCAGTTATAAGGAGGGAAGGACCTTGCCATAGGAGGAGGGTCAGTCAGTGAGCAACCCCCAAGGGAGAAACAGCCGACAAGTTCAAGAACAGGGTTGTTACATATTCAGCTAAGACCATGGCTGTGCTTAAATACCAGACCTCCCACCCATCTTCTCCCAGATTCTGAGTAAAAATCCAAAAACCGCCTTGTTCCAGTGGAGACAGGCTGTGTGCTACATGGAGTCAACAAATGAGGAACAACATGGGAAATCACACCACAGAAACTTGCAGACAGCTTGAGGAGGGCCCAGAACATGGGGAAAAAGGGGGATAGGTGACTCAAGACAATGTTGTTTAATTTACAAAAGGACGGAGGCCCAGCTAACTGCAGGGCAGGAGCTGTCACTAGAGCAACAGTGGTCTGCACCTATGAGAGCAGCCGAGACAAGGCTAAGTTCAATCTGAGGACACTTGGCATCTTGCCGTCTTGGCTGCCCAGCCTTCTCTGCTTAGACCCTGCTTCAGGAACAGACTTTAATAAACCTTCCCAAGCCAAGTGGAACTCATTCAGCCACACTGGGCTAGAAAGTCAAATCCTATCACACACAGACTGAAGATACTGAACAGCAAGAGGGGAAAGGCCTGACCACCACACCCTAATGAGAGCTACCACTGTGGGGATAGGTCAGGGACAATCGCTCAGCCACTCTCCGGAAGCACCCGGTAGATGGCTGAGCACAGTCCTTCCTGACAGCTGAGCAGGCCCAAACCGTAGTGTGATCTCTCAGCAAAATAAAAACGATTAGAGACGCAGTGGTTGGTTCCTTTTACACTGGGCAAGTTCCTGTAGTGTGGATCAAGACTGGGAAAGATTTATTCCCCCGTCGGAATGGGATGTGCCCTGAAGAGCTAACTCAAATGCAGAATCTTACCGTGTAGGCCTCTTCCGTTATGCATCTCAAGGTGGAATCCATGAAAGGCCAAGTTCACCTTCTGAGTGACGTGGCCCACCTGAATCACTGCTAACACAGACTTTGTAGGACTCTAGACCTGGCCGATGCTTGCTGGTCAGGGCCCAGGCAGGCCTGCCTCACCTCTGCCCCATGGGGCAGTAGTGGACCCATGTTCATCTCACCAGCACCCGAACCTCAGTCTTCCTTCCTGACTGGCCTGAGAGTCTCCCTCCACATGCCAGGGGCTGGCTCAAGAATGGGTATGTGACCCACTGCTGGGCAATGAGTTATGACAAAAGGGCTTCTGGAAGTTTCCTTGAACCACAAGGTTTTTCTTCTTCCTCTGTAATAGTCTAGTGTCTTGATACGCTGCCTGGAACTGCTACAGCCATCTTTCCACCAGCCTGATGAAGCCAACACTGAGGATGACGGAGCAGAGAGGAAACATTCGTTTCCTTCATGGGAAGCTGAATCAACCCCCTACGGCAGGACAGGACTCCCTGCCACGTGAGAGACTGAATTTCCTGGCTGTTCAGGCCTGCCTGAGACAGGATGTCTGTAGCAGGAGTTCAAGCCAAGTGGTGTGAAAAAGGCCCAATGAGAACTGATATTTTAGGAAGCAAAATGCTAGGTGAATGCGGAGAAGGTGGTCACGTCACTCGGGTGGCTATACCTGGAGCTTTGGGAGGCTGGCCGTAGAGTTAAGGCTTGGAAACGCTGATCCCAGGCTGACGAGGCAACGCCCTGTCATCCCCACGTCTGCGCCTCCCGGCAGGCATTCGACCTCCTCCAGGGAAGTCGCCTGGGATTCTCCTCCTCGTGATTGAAAAGAATCCAATAAACACGTCCCTGGGAATTAATGTGCCTTCGGCTCACGTGGAGGACTAACCACCTGCTCTCTAAAACGCCTGTTCAGAATGCAGTTAAAGCAGAAGGATGAAATGCAAGCTTGCCACTGGGGATGGAAGGATGGCAGACGCAAAAGGCAAGATGGGTTCAGAAGCACACTTCCCAGCAGCAGAGGAAGCTCAGCCGCATCTGCCTGGTGGCAATCCAGACGCCTCTTTGCCTGTGGCTACTCCAAGAAGGGGGAGGGAAAATGAGCTTGCTTCTCCCTGTTTACATTAATCCTGCTTCCTGTTTGAGTTTTAGGCATGTAAAAAGCTTCTGTTTCCTCAATGGAGACATTTTAATCCTCAATGAGTATTCTGGGTGAAATTCCCTAGAGGGGACATTCAGTGTAGTGAACAGTGACATCGGTCTTGGGGCACAAAAGTGCACTTGGCACTCACTGGTTGGGTGACCCCAGGCAATGTTATTACTTCATTCCTGAACTTCAGTTTCCTCATCTATAAGATGGGGATAACAATAGCACCTGTTTCAGAATCGTGAAGATTAAATACATTAATGCAAGGGAGACACGTATGTGCCTGGCACACAGTAAGCACTAGACAAGTGTGAGCTACTGCTGTTGATACTCACTGTCTTCAACAGGGACGGAAGCTTCACACAGAAAACAGGTTTCAGCCACTCCCATGTTCTCCTGGTTCCTGAAACGAGCTGCCCTCACCCCAGTCTGTCCAAGCACATCAACATAGTTGTCCGTTCTCTCTGCAGGAGTTCGATTGGAGACAACTGTCCTATGGCTTTCATCTGCGTAACAGAACCGTTTTGGGGGACAAGACAGGAGAGCTTAATCTTCAAACTTGACTGACTTGGATGCATTCCTGTCAATATAAAAGATTCTGTCCGGAGCCGTGGAGAAGCCGAGGCCGGCCCTCCGGCTGTGCTTCCAGCTCATGGCCCGGTCGTAGTCCTGCTGTAGATTCCGCTGCAGAGTGTCGGCCACCTTCTTGCTGAGGGCCATGCTGGGCCTGCCGACCATGTTAGCGGGGCGACTGAATGACGGGGACAGATTTTTAAAGCCACCCATGAGTTTGAGAAATTTCAGTTTCTGTTCCTCATTTTCAAAGCCAGCAGTATCCCATTGGCCAAATTGAGTTCCCTGTGGTAAGAGAAAACAGGTGGTTACTTTCCTGGCTTCCAAAGCGTCTTCCTTTGCCCAGCCCCCAGCCTTGCCGGGGAGGATCCAGA